GAAAAATCTTGTCATAAAAGATCCTGGAGATATTTTTATTTAAAGTGACAAAAATTCCTAAGGAGATGAGACTCTCCTAACAGAAAAATCTGTGAACATGTATAACAAGAATATATTAAAGTTTTCTTGTTATAATGTTTTTCAATCCCGTTTTAAAAATCTGTCATGTTTGTGTGTTGGGGAAGGGGGTGTTGGGAGTAGAGAGAGAGAGACTTGGAAAAGCAGAAATTCATCAGCTCTTGGTTATTGAATGGCAAACACAGTAGTTCCACTGTAAAGAGAAGTCAACTGAGATGTCCACCACCACAGGCATTTAATTCCTGGTGGATTAATTTTTGTTGTGAAGTGATAAAAGATGCAACCTTAAGCTTTCAGCATCTAGTATCTGTAGCTCTGCCAGACAGTTGATTGAGTGTTCATCTTAGCCCAGATTAAGCCAGGTCCATGTGACTGTAAGGGGTAAGTGCAGCATTGAACCTAGGGGGCCTCCTTTTTATAAGTTAGACCTTAAAACATACAAACAGCTGATTTTTCTCTAAAAACTATTACCTTGTACTTTCTCTACCTTTTGTTAATAATGTTCACTGCAGAAATGAATTTAAAAAAATCTCTCTGTTTATAAATGTCTATGGCAAAGAATTTTAATAAGTCTTACCAAAACTTTAGAATTATAGAAGTTAAGAAAACCCTGTATTAAATAAAGGTAAACAAGTTTTCTTACTGCAGGAATTTTTTCAAACCTTTAACATGCATCACCAGAGTATAAGATGACAAAGGATAGAATACAGTGCTTTCATATTTTGTTGACTACAGAATTAGTTGCAAAGTTAGGGTGAAATTTTTTTTTGTTCTATAGAGTCTAGTAACTCACCTTCTATTTCCCTTAGAACAAAAAGTGCTTTCTTCTCCTAGCAAGCAATTTAAGTGGATTTGACTAAGGGAGGTTCAGATCGTAAGGTGCAAGGATGTTTGAAGACCCTAATAGCCCTTAGTTACTGTTTCTTTTGGAAGCTCCGTTCCAAATCATTTCAAAATTTTGAAATGTAATCAAATGTCACATTAAATAAAATATTTTTTCTTAAAGTCATTTTAAAGGATTTGCAAAGGTAGCTTTTCTGACACTAATAAGATACAATTTAAAAACAGGTAATGCATTGCAAACTTTGAAAAAAGAAAGGAGCCAATTATGAACAGAATTGGAAATCATTGGAAGTAAAAAAGAAAGAAAGAAAGAAAAAGGGTATCAAAAAAACATACACTGGCAGTGTATATTAAAATATCATTTAGGGAATAAGTTGTTTTTTTTTTTCTCACCATCAGCACTGTTATACAATTTCAGGAGTAAAATGAAAACAAACTGTCATGTGAATGGTGCCTACTAATTGTTTGCTCTATGGCAGCCCTGTCACTGCTTGAACCCAGGAACAAACCTGCTCTAGTTGGGAGGCTGGTATATCTGTGGAAATGCAGCACATCCACCTGTCAAAACAGGAGGCCATTAAGCCCTGCAATCAAAGTACCAGCAACCTCTGCTCTGATTCCAGGATCACCAAGCAATCCTCTGATTATAATTTTCTTTCTATGCAGCTTCCTACAGAGAAAGAATATGATGGTCAGAGAAATGAGTATCTGCCCCACTTGACAATTATATTTCTCACTGTAAATGAAATGAAAACTGGCTTTTCCAGTAGTCCATTGTTTGCTGTTTAAGAGTGAATACGGATTTTCAAGTTTGAACTAGTCTAGGAGACAGACAAAACCAAATTTTGAGTTTGAAAATCTGGTCTGGTATGCCTTTGAAATGTAGTACAATTTTGTGAAACTTCTTAAAGATAACAAGTGGGCCTTATTTTGCATTGCAGTGGCTCAAACACCTTTACATTTAAACCCAAATTCGGGTGAGATCCTGGATAATAAATAACAGACTATTTTTAAGTGGAACCTGAGAAATACAAGCAGATGATAAAGAAATAAATCAATTATATATGTAAAATACTTAGAATTACATTGTTTTACTTAAATCTAAAAACTTTCTGAGGTAAATTAATGTCATCTTCTATAATGAAGAAAGAAGTGATGCTCTGTGAAATTTCTCTGATCTGCCTAAGGCCACACAGGAACTGGAGGGGCTAGAATTGAATCATAGTATCACTGGTTTTGCATTGCATGTCGTACTACAACATCACATAAGTAAAATGATGAAATTATTACTGGTAGAGGGTCTTGACTATCAGTTGTCCAGGTTCTTGGCATTTTGGAAAAGGAATTGGACAAAATACACAAAGCAACAAAAGAACAGAACAATGAAAGAAGCAATAAAAGACACAATGAAACCACAGATTTATTGAAGTGAAAGTACACTGCAAAGTGTGGGAGGAAGCTTGAGCAAGCAGCTCAAGAACACCGGCTGCAAAATCTTCTGAGTTTAAGTACGCTTTAGAGCTTTTCTATTGGTTACACCCTATGTAAATGAAGATGACCTGCAACCAATTGGAGGCTGAACTAAGGTTACATAATATACAAATGAAGACTTGGATTGTGACCAATTGGAGGCTGAAGTGAAGTTATATCCTATGCAAATGAAAACTTGGTCCGTCACCAATTGGTGGCTGATATGAAGGCTCCCTGTCTCCAGTCCCTATTCTCATTCCTTAGAATGACACTGTATAACATGTCTAAGTGGAGAATAGAGAAATAATATGAAAAGAAAGAAAACTGCAGAAAGTCACAAAGCTAGGGCTGGCTGAGAGGAAATTGAAATAATCAGTGAAGAGTTTAGACTATACTAATAAATGGCAATAAATACTGAACACTGATATAAAAATAATGTCCATCTCCATCAAGAAATCAAAAAGTATGCAGTGACTATTTAATGTATGTTGGTTACAAATTGAGTTGAATTGTTTGTATATCTAGTCACACCTGTTGGCATATCTATTCCATTATAAATAATCTTTTACTTGTAAACAATCGGAGACATACTCATATAAAACTACAGAATGTGATTTATAGATAATGGACTTGAAGAGTATGCAGTTATGCAGATCAGAATAATTGCTTAACTTACAAAAAATAAGTTTTAGTAGGTGGTTCTGAATATACCGGTAGAAAACAGTAAGGAATTGCATACATTATCATAGTGAACAGCTAGTCAGGCATGTGTCAATTTTAAGTGTCAGAGGATCAAATATAAAGAACTCTACACCAGCTGGGTCTGTATTGCCATACAATAATTGGAAACTTGGCAAGTAAGTGTTCACACCAATGACAGTGTGATTCCTATTGACTGGAAACACCACTCTGGTAGTTTTAATTAGAGATGTGTCATGTAATTCATTGTTAACCATGATGTGGATGAGCCAGCATTGGTTACAGTTTGAAAAACTGCCTGGACCTTTATTCCATATATGGGAATCTCTTGGCAAGATTTTTTGTGAGCTGAAAATAATGCATATTATGTCTGCTAGTCATTAAGTCATGTCCCATTGTGTTAATGCCATGACTACATGGAAAAACAGATGTGGCAATTAAAAACTAAAAGTGATACCCATTTATTTTTGGCTGGAGAATTGCTACACATAGAAGCATTTTTTTCTTCCTTAGCCAAAAATATGGCAGGAACAGAGTAACTATTATTTTCCCACTGTTTGTGAATAGTTCGTGAATCATGATCCACACTCAACCACCTGCATATTTCTATTTTTGAACCATTTAAAATTATGCTTATATTCATTTACTGAAATTTCTATGAACTCCCCCCCACAAAAAAAAATAAAACAACTAATGTGTACTTCCAATTCTTTTGATGGGGGGAGGCGCATGATTAAGCCAAGTTGGCCAGAAAGCAAAGTCCAGTTAAATGACTAAATAAAATAGCAGCTATAAACAAGCCTTGTACTCAAAGAGAAACTTACAAGTATATAGATAGAAAGTAGAGAATGGCATTCCCATGTCTATCATACATGTATTGTACAACCAACTGGCCATGTCCTTATTTGACAGCAATTGATCAAATTGACAATGGATCTATGTAAATCCACTTTGAAGAAAATGAAAAATATCATATTAACTAGACTTCAGCCTGTTCTAGTTTAAAAATTTTCTACAAGCTAAGTATTTTTAAGTATCTGGTTTTGGCAAATATTTATTCAAGACTTTTCAGGAAACTAAAGAATAAGATACAGTTTCCACTGTCATGAAGTTTACAGTCTAGTAAGGGAGATAACTAACACTATAATATAAACAGCTATACTTAAAAACAAATTGTGTTAAGTATCATATGTGAGGTAGATTAAATTGTTGTGTGAGATTATGGTAATAAAGCTGCAAGAAAACACAGTCCCTTTAAAAACCTCAGCTACCATCTTTGAATAAATTGGCAAGCTGATTCTGAAATTCATATGAAAAGTCAAGGGGCTTAGAATAAAATTCAAGGGGCTTAGCCGAAACAGTATTTAAAAAGAAAAAGAAATGTGAAGGATTTACACTTCTTGATTTTAGAACTTACTACAGTGCTATAGTAATCAAGCCAGTGTGATATTGGTATGAGGAGAAACACATGTATCAATGATATAGAGTTGAGAATCCAGAAATATACCACCACATTTGTGCTCAACTGATTTTGAAAGGGATGACAAAACAATTCAGTGGGAAAGAAAAGTTGATGAAAAATTGTGCTGAAATAACTGGAAAGTCACATTAAGAATAAAGAAAAGAAGTTGGAACTATATTTTTATTTTTTATTTTTAAAAATTTTCTGTAAGTTATTGGGATACAGGTGGTATCTGGTTGTAAGAGTAAATTCTTTAGTGGTGATTTTTGAGATTTTGGTGCACTTATCACCTGAGCAGCATACACTGTACCTTATTTGTAGTCTTTTATCCCTCACCCCTCTACCACTCTTCCCTCCAAGTCCCCAGAGTCCATTATATCATTCCTATGCCTTTGCATCCTCATAACTTAGCTCCCACGTATCAGTGAGAATATACTGTTTGGTTTTCCATTCCTGAGTTACTTCACTTAAAATAGTAGTCTTCAGTTTCATCTAGTTCCCTGAAAATGCTATTAATTCATTCCTTTTTACGGCTATGTAGTATTCCATCATATACATATACTATAATTTCTTTATACACTCATTGATTGATGGGCATTTGGGTTAGTTACATGATTTTGCAATTGTAAATTGTGCTGCTATAAATGTGCATGTGCAAGTATCTTTTTTGAGTACCCAGTAGTGGGATTGCTGGATCAAATGGTAGTTCTACTTTTAGTTCTTTAAGGGATCTCCACACTGTTTTCCACAGTGGCTTTACTAGGTTACATTCCCACCAGCAGTGTAGAAATGTTTCCTGTTCACTGCATCCGTGCCTACAGCTACTGTTGTTTGATTGTGGCCATTCTTGCAGGAGTGAGGTGGTATCGAATTGTGGTTTTGATTTGCATTTCCCTGATCATTAGTGTGACATTTTTTTCATGGGTGTGTTTATTAGCCATTTATATATCTTCTTTTTTTTTTGAGATGGAGTCTCTCTCTGTCACCCAGGCTGGAGTACAGTGGCACAATCCCCTCCACCTCTTGGGTTCAAGCAATTATCTTGCCCCAGCCTCCCAAGTACCTGGGACTACAGGTGCATGCCACCATGCTCAGCTAATTTTTTGTATGTTTAGTAGAGACAGGGTTTCACCATGTTGGTCAGCATGGTCTCAATCTCTTGACCTAGTGATCCGTCAGCCTTGGCTTACCAAAGTGCTGGAATTACAGGCATGAGCCACTGCTCCCGGCTAATATCTTCTTTTGAGAATTGTGTATTCATGTCCTTAGCCTACTTTTTGATGGAATTGTTTGTTTTTATCCTACTGATATGTTTGTGTTCATTGTAGATTCTAGATATTAGTCCTTTGACAGATGCATATATTATGAAGATTTTCTCCCACTCTGTATTGTCTGTTTATTCTGCTGACTGTTACTTTTGCCATGTAAAAGCTCTTTAGTTTAATTAGGTCCCAGCTATTTATTTTTGTTTTTATTGCATTTGCTTTTGGGTTCTTGGTCATAAAATTCTTGCCTAAGCCAGTGTCTAGAAGGGTTTTTCTAATGTTACCTTATAAAATTTTTATAATTTCAGATCTCATATTTAAGTCCTTAATCCATCTTGAGTTGATTGTTGTATAAGCTGAGAGATAGGGATCCAGTTTCATTCTCCTATATGTGACTAGTCAATTGTCCCAGTACCATTTGTTGAAAAGGGTGTCTTTCTCCACTTTATGTTTTTGTTTGCTTTGTCTGAGATCAATTGGCTGTAAGAATTTAGGTTTATTTTTGTATTACCTATTCCGTTACGTTGGTCTATGTACCTATTTTTATACAAGTACCATGCTGTTTTGGTGACTGTGGCCTTATAGTTTGAAGTCGGGTAGTGTGATACCTCCAGATTTGTTCTTTTTGCTTAGCCTTCCTTTGGCTATGCGGGCTCGTTTTTGGTTCCATATGAATTTTATAATTGTTTTTTCTAACTCTGTGAAAAAATTCTAACTCTCTTTGATAGGGATTCTGTTGAATTTGCAGATTGCTTTTGGCAGTAAGGTCATTCTGACAATATTGAGTCTACCCATCCATGAGCATGAATGTGTTTTCGTTTATTTGTGTCTTCGATGATTTCTTTCACCAATGTTTTGCAGTTTTCCTTGTAGAGGTATTTCGACTCCTTTGTGAGGTATATTGATTTGTGTACATTAATCTTGTATCCAGAAACTTTGCTGAATTATTTTATCAGTTCTAGGAGCTTTCTGAAGGTGTCCTTAGGATTTTCAAGGTAAACAATCATAATGTCAGCAAAAGGTGACAGTTTGACTTCCTCTTTACCGATTTGGGTGCTCTTTTTTTCTTTCTCTTGTCTCATTTCTCTGGCTAGAACTTCCAGTACTATGTTGAAGAGGAGTGGTGGGAGTGGGCATCCTTGTCTTGTTCCAGTTTTCAGAGGGAATGCTTTCAACTTTTCCCCATTCAGTATTGTCTTGACTGTGGGTTTGTCATAGATGGCTTTAATACATTGATGTATGTCCCTCGTATGCTGATTTTGCTGAGAGTTTTAATCATAAAGGGATGCTGCATTTTGTTGAATGCTTTTTCTGCACATATGGAGATAATCATATTATTTTTATTTTTAATTCTGTGTATGTGGTGTGTCACATTTATTAATTTGCATATGCTAAACCATACCTGCATCCCTGGTATGAAACCCACTTGATCATGGTGGATTATCTTTTTGATATGTTGTTGGATTCAGTTAGCTAGTATTTTGTTAAGGACTTTAGCATCTGTGTTCATCAAGGATATTGGTCTTTAGTTTTCTTTTTTGGTTATGTCCTTTCCTGTTTTTGGTATTACAGTGATGCTGGCTTCATAGAATGAATTGGGGAGGATTCCTTCTTTATCTTGTGGAATAGTGTCGAAAGGATTGATACCAATTCTTCTTTGAATGTCTGATAGAATTCTGCTGTGAATCTGTCTAGTCCTAGACTTTTTTTGTTAATTTTTAAATTACCATTACAATCTCACTGCTTGTTACTTTTAGTCTGTTCAGGTTACCTAATTATTTCTGATTTAAGTTAGGAGGATTGTATATTTACAGGAATTTATTCATATCTTCAAGGTGTTCTGGTTTATGTGCATAAAGGTGTTCATAGTAGCCTTGAATGATCTTTTGTATTTCAGTGTTGTCAGTTGTAATATCTTCTGCTTTGTTTCTTAGTGAGGTTATTTGGATTTTCTCTCTTCTTTTCTCAGTTAATCTTGCTAATGTTTCTTTTCAAAGAAACAGCTTTTTGTTTCATTTATCTTTTGTATTTTTTTGTTTGTTTATTTTAATTTCATTTATTTCTGCTCTGATCTTGGTTATTTCCTTTCTTCTGCTGGGCTTGGGTTTGGTTTGTTCTTGTTTCTCTAATTCCCTGAGGTGGGACCTTAGATTGTCTGTGCTCTTTCAGACTTTTTGATGTAGGCATTTAGGGTTATGAACTTTTCTCTTAGTGGTTTTGATAGGTTGTGCCATTATTGTCATTCAGTTCAAATAATTTTATAATTTACGTATTGATTTCATTTTTGACCCAGTAGTCATTCAGGAACGGATTATTTAACTTCCATGTATTTGCATGGTTTTGAATGTTCCTTTTGGAGTTGATTTCCAGTTTTATTACACTGTGGTCAGAAGAGTGCCTTATATAATTTCAATTCTTTTAAATTTGTTGAGACTCATTTTATGGCCTATCACATGTTCTGTCTTGCAGAAAGTTCCATGCATTGTTGAATTGAATGTGTATTCTGCACTTGTTGGATGAAATGTTCTGTACATATCTCTGAAGTCCATTTGCTCAAAGGTATAGTTAAAGCCATTATTCCTTTGTTGATTTCCTGTCTTGATGGCCTGTCTGGTGCTGTCAGTAGAGTACTGAAGTTCCCCAGTATTATTGTGTTGCTGTCTATATCATTTCTTAGGTCTATTATAAATTTGGGACCTCCAGCGTTGGGTACATATATGTTTAGGATTGTGATGTTTTCCTGTTGGAAAAGGCCTTTTACCATTACATAATGTCACTTTTTGTCTCTTTTATCCACTATTGCTCTAAAGTTTGTTTTGTTTGATATAAGAATAGCTACCTCTGCTCACTTTTGGTGTCCATTTGCATGAAATGCCTTCTTTCATCCTTTTGCTTTATGTCCTGTGTGTTAGGTGAGTCTCTTAAAGGCAGCAGATAGTTGGTTGGTGAGTTCTTATCCATTCAGTGGTTTTGTATCTTTTAAGTGCAGCATTTAGATCATTTACATTAAATGTTAGTATTGAAATGTGACGTACTGTTCGATTTATCATGCTTTTTGTTGCCTGTGTACTTTGTTTTTGTTTTTTTGCTTTTTAACTTGTATTTTTGTTTAATAGGTGCTGTCTGATTTATAGGTTCTGTTTTGATGTGTTTCCAGGATTTGTTCTAAGATATAGAGCTCCTTTTAGCAGTTCTTGCAGTGGTGGCTTAGTAATGGAGAATTCTCTCAGGCTTTGTTTGTCTGAAAATGACTGTATCTTTTCTCCATATATGATGCTTAGTGTTGCTGGATACAAAATTCCTGACTGATAATTGTTTTGTTTGAAGAGGCTGAAGATAGAGCCCCAGTCACTTTTAGCATGTAGGGTTTATGCTGATAAATCTGCTGTTAATCTGATAGGTTTTCCTGTATAGGTTACATAGTGCTTCGCTTTCACAGCTCTTAAGATTCTTTCCATCATCTTAATTTTAGATAACCTGATGACAATGGGCCTAGGTGAAGATCTTTTTATGATGAATTTCCTGGGTCTTCTTTGTGCTTCTTGTATTTGTGTGTCTAGGTTTCTAGCAAGGCTGGGGAAGTTTTCCTCAAATGTTTTCCCTGATATATTTTCCAAACTTTTAGAATTGTCTTCTTCCTCAGGAACATCAATTATTCTTAGGTTTGGTCATTTAACATAATCTCAGACTTCTTGGATTCTTTGTTTGTATTTTCTTATCTTTTTTCTTTGTTTTTTTGGATTTGGTTAATTTGAAAACCTTGTTTTTGAGCTCTGAATTTTTTTCTTCTACTTATTCAATTCTATTGCTTAGACTTTCCAGAGCATTTTGCATTTCTAAAAGTATGTCCAAAGTTTCCTGACTTTTTGAGTGTTTTTTTCTTTAAGCTATCTATTTACTGGGATATTTCTCCCTTCACTTCTTATATTGTTTTTCTGATTTTCTTGCATTGAGCTTCGCCTTTATCTGGTGCCTTCCTGATTAGCTTAATAACTAACCTCCTGAATTATTTTTTCAGGTAAATTAGGGATTTTTTCTTGGTTTGGATCCATTGCTGGTGAACTAGTGTGATTTTGGGGGGTGTTGAAGATCACTGTTTTGTCTATTACCAGAGTTGGTTTTCTTCTCATTTGGGTAGGCTCTGTCAGAGGAAAGGTCTAGGACTGAAGTCTGTTATTCAGATTTTTTGTTGTCCCATGGGGTGTTCCCTTGATGGAAAACTCTTCCCCTTTTCTTGTGGACATGGCTTCTGGTGAGCCATCCTGCAGTGATTGTTGTCTCTCTTCTGGGTCTAGGCACCTAACAAGCCTATGTGGCTCCAGGCTGACACTGGGGGTTGTCTGCACAATCTTCTATTGTGAGCCATCTATGAGTCTCTCAGCCATGGATACCAACACCTGTTCTGGTGGATGTGGCAGAGGATACCATGGCATGCGGGTTCTCAGGTTTGGTGGTTTAATGCTCTATTAAAAAAATTTACTTTAATTTCTGGGATACATGTACTGAATGTGCCAGTTTTTTACATAGGTGTACATGTGCTATGGTGGTTTGCTACATCCATCACCCCATCACCTGTCATCTAGGTTTTAAGACCTGCATGTAATAGGTATTTGTTCTAATGTTCTCCCTCCCCTTTCAACCAACTGCCAACAGGCCCCAGTGTAAGATGTTTCCCTCTGTGTCCATGTATTCTCATTGTTCAACTCCCAGTTATGAGTGAGAATATGCGGTGTTTGGTTTTCTGTTCCAGTATTAGTTGCAGCTTCATCCATGTCCCTGCAAAGGATGTGAACTCATTCTATTTTATGGCTAAATAGTATTCCATGGTGTATATGTGCCACATTATTTTTGATGGGCATTTGGGTTGGTTTCAAGTCTTTGCTATTGTAAATAGTGCTAAAATAAACATACATGTGCATATGTCTTTATAGCAGAATGATTTATTATCATTTGGGTATGTACCCAGTAATGGGATTGTTGGGTCAAATGATATTTGTGGTTCTAGATCCTTGAGGAATCATCACACTGTCTTCCACAATGATTGAACTAATTTGCACTCCCACCAACAGTGTAAAGTGTTCCTATTTCTCTACAGTCTCACCAGCATCTATTGTTTCTTGACCTTTTCATATTCGCCATTCTGACTGGTGGGAGATAGTATCTCCTTGTGGTTTTGATTTGCATTTCTTTAATGACCAGTGATGATTAGCTTTTTTTTTTCATATGTTTGTTGATCACATAAATTTCTTTTTTTTTCTTTTATTATTATTATTACACTTTAAGTTTGGGAGTAAATGTACAGAGCATGCAGGTTTGTTACATAGGTATACATGTGCCATGGTGGTTTGCTACATCCATCACCCCATCACCTACATTAGGTATTTCTCTTAATGCTATCCCTCCCCTGACCCCCAACCCCTGCTATCCCTCCTCTAGACCCCGACAGGCCCCAGTGCGTGATGTTCCCCTCCCTGTGTCCATGTGTTCTCATTGTTCTACACCCACTTATGAGTGAGAATATGTGGTATTTGGTTTTCTGTTCTTGTGTCAGTTAGCTGCAAATGATGGCTTCCAGCTTTATCCATGTCCATGCAAAGGGCATGAACTCATCCTTTCTTGTGGCTGCATAGTATCCCATAGTGTATATGTGCAATATTTTCTTTATCCAGTCTGTCCTTGATGGGCATTTGGGTTGGTTCCAAATCTTTGCTATTGTAAACAGTGCTAAAATAAACATACAAGTGCATATGTCTTTATAATAGAATGATTTATAATCCTTTGGGTATATACCCAGTAGTGGGATTGCTGAGTTAAATGGTATTTCTATTTCTAGAGCCTTGAGGAATTGCTTCACTGTCTTCCACAATGGTTGAACTAGTTTACACTCCCACCAACAGTGTAAAAGCATTCCTATTTCTCCACATCCTCTCCAGCATCTGTTGTCTCCAAATTTTTTAATGATTGCCATTCTAACTGGCATGGTATCTCAAAATGGTTTTGATTTGCATTTCTCTAATGACCAGTGATAATGAGCATTTTTTCATATGTTTGTTGGCTGCATAAATGTCTTCTTTTGAAAAGTACCTGTTCATATACTTCATCGACTTTTTGATGGGGTTGTTTTATTTTTCTTGTAAATTTGTTTTAGTTCTTTGTAGATTCTGGATATTAGCCCTTTGTCAGATGGGTAGATTGCAAAGATTTTTCCCATTCTGTTGGTTGCCAGTTCACTCTAATGATTACTTCTTTTGCTGTGCAGAAGCTTTTAAGTTTAATTAGATCCCATTTGTCAATTTTGGCTTTTGTTGCCATTGCTTTTGGTGTTTTAGTCATGAAGTCCTTGCCCATGCCTGTGTCCTGAATGATATCACCTAGATTTTCTTCTAGGATTTTTATGGTGTTAGAATTTATGTTTAAATCTTTAATCCATCAGGAGTTAATTTTTGTATAAGGTTTAAGGAAGGGAATCAGTTTCAGCTTTCTGCATATGGTTAGCCAGTTTTCCCAATACCATTTATTTAATAAGGAATCCTTTCCCCGTTGCTTGTTTTTGTCAGGTTTGTCAAAGATCAGATGGCTATAGGTGTGTAGCATTATCTAAGACCTCTGTTCCTTTCCATTGGTCTTTATCTCTCTAGTGGTACCAGTTCTATGCTGATTTGGTTACTGTAGCCTTGACTTCAAACTGTTTTGACATCAGGTTTTGAGAAATATCTGTTCATATCCTCTGCCCACTTTTTCATGAGGTTGTTTTCTTTTACATGTAAATTTGTTTAAGTTTCTAGCGGGTTCGGGATATTAAGTCTTTGCCAAATGAATAGTTTGCAAAACTTTTCTCCCATTCTGTAGGTTGACTGTTCATTCTGCTGACAGTTTCTTTTGCTAAGAAGCAGCTCATTAGTTTATTTAAATCCTACTTGTCTATTTTGGCTTTGCTGCAATTGCTTTTGGTGTTTTAGTCATAAAGTCTCTGCCTATGCCTATGTCCTGAATGGTATTGCCTAGGTTTTATTCTAGAGTTTTTATGGTTTTAGATCTTACCTTTAATTCTTTAATCCACTTTGAGTTAATTATTGTATAAGGTATAAGGAAGGGTCCAGTTTCTGTTTTCTGCATATGGCTAACTAATTTTATCAGCACCATTGATATTAAATGGGCAATCCCTTCCCCATTTCTTGTTTTTGTCAGGTTTGTCAAAGATCAAATGGTTGTAGATGTGTGGTGTTATTACTGAGGTCTCTGTCCTGTTCCATTGGCCTATATATCTATTTTGTTATATGGGCTCTTTTTTGTTTCCATATGTAATTTAAAGTAGTTTTTTTTTTTTTTTTTTTTTTTTAGTTCTGTGAAGAAAATCATTGGTAGCTTGATGGGAATAGCATTGAATCTCTAAATTACTTTGGGAAGTATGGCCATTTTCATGATATTGATGCTTCCTATCCATGAGGATGGAATGCTTTTCCATTTGTTAGTGTTCTCTCTTATTTCCTTGAGCAGTGTTTGTAGTTGTCCTTGAAGAGGTCCTTCATGTCCCTTATAAATTGTATTCCTGGGTATTATATTTTCTTTGTAGCAATTGTTTATGAGAGTCCACTCATGATTTGGCTCTCTGCTAGTCTATTATTGGTGTATAAGAATGCTTGTGATTTTTGCACATTGAATTTGTATATTGAAATTTTGCTGAAGTTGTTAATCAGCTTAAAGAGTTTTTGGGCTGAGACAATGGGGTTTTCTAAATATACAATCATGTCAGCTGCAAACAGAGATAATTTGAATTCCTCTCTTCCTATTTGAATATGCTTTTTTCTTTCTCTTGCATGATTGCTCTGGCCAGAACTTTCAATACTATGTTAAATAGGATTAGTGAGAGAAGGCAGAAATAATGAAGTTTTTTGAAACCAGTAAGAATAAAGAGACAACATACCAGAATCTCTGAGACACAGCTAAAGCAGTGTTTAGAGGAAAATTTATAGCACAAAATGGCCATATCAGAAAGTGGCAAAAATCTAAAATTGACACCCAAACATCACAATTAAAATAACTGTAATATTAGACTGATCAACTAGACAGAAAATTAACATGGATATTCAGGACTTGAACTCAGCTCTGGACTAAGCTGACTTAAATGACATCTACAGAACTCTCAACTCCAAATCAGAACATACATTCTTCTCAGCACATTGCACTTATTCTAAAAAATTGACTACGTAATTGGAAATAAAACACTCCTCAGAAAATGCAAAAAAATAGAAATCATAACAAACAGTCTCTCAGACCACAGTGCAATCAAATTAGAACTCTGGATTAAGAAACTCACTGAAAACCGCACAACTACATGGAAACTGAACAACCTGCTCCTGAATGACTACTGGTTAAAAAACGAAATTGAGGCAGAAATAAATTCTTTGAAACCAATGAGAACAAAGACACAACATACCACAATCTCTGGGACACACCTAAAGCGGTGTTTAGAGGGAAATTTATAGCACTAAATGCCCACAGGAGAAAGTGGAAAAGTTCTGAAATTGACACTCTAATATCACAATTAAAAGAACTAGAGAAGTAAGAGCAAACAAATTCAAAAGCTAGCAGAAGACATGCAATTACTAAGCTCAGAGCAGAACTGAAGGATACAGAGACACAAATAACCTTTCAAAAAATTCAGTGAATCCAGGAGGTGGTTTTTTGAAATGATTAACAAAATAGATTGACTCTATTAGCCAGACTAATAGAGAAGAGAAGAGAGAAGAATCAAATAGACACAATAAAAAATGATAAAGGAGATATCAACACTAATCCCACAAAAATACAAACTACCATCAAAGAATACTATAAACACCTCTATGCAAATAAACTAGAAAAATCTAGAGGAAATGGATAAATTCCTGGACACACGTATTCTCCCAATACTAAACCAGGAAGAAGCCAAATCCTTGAATAGACCAATAACAAGTTCTGAAATTGAGGCAGTAATTAATAATTTACCAACCAAAAAAAGCCCAGGACCGGACAGATTCTCAGCTGAATTTTACCAGACATACAAAGAGGAGCTGGTACCATTCCTTCTGAAACTATTCCAAACAATAGAAAAAGAGGGACATCTTACTAACTCATTTTATGAGGCCTGCATTATTTTTATTCCAAAATCTGGCAGTGACACAACAAAAAAAGAAAATTTCAGGCCAATATCCCTGACAAACATCAGTGTAAAACTCCTCAATAAAATACTAGCAAACTGAATCCAGCAGCACATTAAGAAGCTTATCCACCACGATCAAGTTGGCATCATCCCTGGGATGCAAGACTGGTTCACCATATGCAAATCAATAAACATAATCCATTACATAAACAGAACCAATAACAAAACCACGATTATATCAATAGATGCAGAAAAGGCCTTTGATGAAATGCAACAGTCCTTCATGCTAAAACCTCTCGATAAACTACATAATGATGGAACATATCCCAAAATAATAACAGCTATTTGTGACAGACCCATAACCAATATCATACTGAATAGGCAAAAGCTGGAAACATTCCCTTTCAATGTCTTTTTAATGCTGATTGGCCTCCTCCCAGGAGGTGGCACTTTTCAGAAAGTATCAGCTGTCCTGGTGCGGAGAGGGATTGATTGTCTGTGGATGGGGCTCTAGAACACCTAAGATTTAGTGCCCTTTGTTTTCTGCTACCAGGGTGGATAGGGACAGATCATCAGATTGGGGTTGGGCTAGGTGTGTCCTAGCTCACACTCTCCTTGGGTGGAGAATCTGGCTGCTGTGGGGAATGGGGGTGAGATTCCCAGGTCACTGGAGTTGTGTACCTAGCAGGATTATGGCTGCCTCTGCTGAGTTATGCAGGTTGTCAGGGATGTGGGGCAAAGCCCGCAGTCACAGCCCTCACACAGCTCCCATGAAAACTGAAGGGCTGGTCTCGCTCCCACCTTGCCTCCCGCAACATCCCTGAGTCTATTTCTAGGTGGAGGGCGAGATGGGTTTGAAAACTTATCCCAGGCTTTCCACTTCCCAGCTGTAAAAGAAAAGAGCTTTAGTTTTTCCTCCTGCCTGTGAAGTCTGCACATCAGATTCACGCCCTCCCCAAATTCTGGCCAGAAGGCTTCTTGTCCCATTCAAATTGTTACCAAGTTCAACTAGAGAATTCTTTCTCTCTGTGGAGTTTTACACCCTGCTCCTCTGGCCACATTCCTGATGGATCTCTGTGTTGCCAGGCAGGATTAGGCTGCTTAGGGACACAGTGAGCTCCCAGGGCCTCTTCACTGCTCCACCCGTGTATTTCACTCGGCTTGGCTCTCTAATTTGACTCAGCTGCAGGTAAAGTCAGGCACTTCTTTCACAAATGGACCTTCAGCTTCTGCAGTGGGGGTGTGTGTTTGTGAGAGGAGGGTCTCCCTTTTCCACTTCCACAGTTGGGGCACTCACGGTATTTGGGGTATCTCTTAGGTCCTGCAGGAGCTGTCCACTTTCTTCAGAGGGTTTATGGATCTTCTCAAGATTGCTGGTTTGTTCTTGCAGTCCATCTGGAGCTAAAATTCACAATTTTAGTTCTGCATGCTGCTCTGTCTGGAGCTGCAATGTAGCCCTGCCTCCCGTCCATCATGATCCCTCAAGCCTCCCCGCATGGAATTATACTTTATATCATACACAAAATTAATTCAAAATGAGTCAAAGACCTAAATTTAGGAGCTAGAATTATTACAATTTTAGAAAAAAAAGGTATTAATCTCCATGAACTTGGGTTAGGCAATATTTTTTAAGATATGACACCAAACATGAAAGCAAATAAAAAAATGAGATAAATTGGACACCATGGAAATTAACATCTTTGTGCTACAAAGGATACCATCAAGAAAATGAAATGACTATCCACAGGATGGAGGACTAGAAGAAAATTTTGGCAAATCCTATCTCTGACAAGGAATGTTTACAACTTAAGAAGAAAAGACATAGAAGCCAAATTTTAAAAGGGCAAAGGGTCTCTGTAGAAATGTCTCCAAAGAATGTATGCCAGTGTCCAATGAACACAGGAAAAGATGATCAACAACATTAGTCATCAGAAAAATGCAAATAAAAGCTACAAGATATTACTTCACACCACTATGATGTTGGCAGTCAAAAAGACAGATAATAGGAGTTGACAAGGATATGGCGATGTTGGAACCATTATACCCTACTAGCAAGAATATAAAATGGTGGTACTTCTCTAAAAAACAATCTGACAGTTTCTCAAAAGGTTAAACACAGAATTACCATATGACTCAGTATTTTCATTTCTAGGTATCCAACAGAAATAAAAACCTATGTCTACACAAAAACTTGTACATAAATATTCATAGCAGCATTATGCAAAACAACCAAATATCTATCAGTTAATTAAAGAAATAAACAAAATGTGGGATGTCTATACCATGGGATGTTATTGGGCAATAAAAATAATAATAAAGGGACATCCAGTTTCTGTTTCCAGATGAATGGAAACAAAAAGTTGCCACTCTGTTTTAACAACAAGTAAAAACTTGGGAAAAAAAACCCTGAAAAAATCAACTCTGCTTAAATCCATAAGAGAAGACAGGTGGCAACCAAACCACTGTGCCCAAAATTCAGGCAGGATTACTAATGTATCAGCACCTTCAGGAATGAATGAACGTGTGGATCATCCTGTTATGCACAGAACCACATCAAATGAGGCTCTTGCAGACAGCAAAGGGAATGTGGAATAGGTAGCAGAAGGGTGTAGTTAGAAATGCCAACTCTGACTATATGATCACTTACAGAAATAAGGGCTGTCATATGTATTAGCATTTCTTTCTTATTTTTTATGAAAATGTTTGTATATATTTTTTCTTCTTATGCTTATCATCTAACATAAGACATAGTAATAATGATTTACTTTATATGTGCATCTATATACATATGTGTAAATATATACACACATATAT